CTACCTGGCAAATGTGACCTGTGCTATGGTTGGCTGGAAAAGTGTCGGCTGCACTCAATCCAAAGTGGGTAGAAAAGCCTTAAAAAAGGACTAAGGACATGTTATTGGCATCTGTCTGTCTCGAGAGACAGTGGTGTGCACTTCCAGGGGTGAAGTCAAACCGCTGCATTAGCAGCACTGAAGTGACCTCCCTAGGGTGCAAGCCTGGGCAGGGTGTCTGGAAACCCTGGGCTGCCCACAAGAACCACCGTCCCCCTGGCCTCGCTGATGTGGTCCAGAAGGAAAGCAGAGCAATATGTCTGGCACAAGCTTCTCTGCAGGAGTTGCCAGGAGGCGGCAGACAAGGTGCCATCTTAGAGACTCTGCTCCAGATTTGTGTAGGGTTTACTCCGCAGCCTTTCCCCCCAAATATATCCTGCAAGGCAGCAGAGGGTTATCAGAGTTTTCCTTCTCCCAGATGGGCTCCCTTCCCAGGTTGACGAGACCCATTTGCCCCTCACTTCCATCTACAGCACATGCAGAAACCGCCTTCTTGACTGTTGGACCCATTCTTGGTCTTGCCCACTCCATCTGCCAGAGCCTATGTTCGCATGCAGGAGAAGCCCCTAACTCACTGGGGTTTGAGCCTCATTGGCTACCCTCCCCTGGTTTAGCCAGCCAGTCGAAACCATTCCTGGGGTGTGGCTGCTGTCACATGCTGACAGCTTCTAGGAGCTACAGGTGAGAGCTGAGTGCTGGGTGGGGACCAAAGGTGGACAAACTACCCCAGAAGCAGCAAGTGTCCCCCACCAGAGGTACTACCCTCCCCTAATACCCCAAACGACCATGCAGACCCTTTAAAATGGTCAGTAATCCCTGGCAGCTCACGAGACTAGAAAGCTGTTTGTAAGTAGAAAAATTAAAGTTTGATAGATTTGAACCAACATGCTCCCTTTTATTTTCCATATCCTGCTTTGTCCATTTGCCCTCCTCTCTTAATAAAACTTCACATACTTGGTGCTGTTAGGGTCTAAATGGTAGGATTCTTGCCAAGTACTTGAATGAAAAAGTGGAGTTTCCCAGGGGAAAGAGCAGTGCTGAACCTCAGGGTGGGGAAGGCAGCTGGATGCCAGCTCTGTTCCTGATAAACTGAGAGGTCTTTGGTGAAGTGCAAAGCATACAGTCTTGGGAGTCTCTTTGGAAGCAATTGCTTTTGCTCCCAGAATTCACCCTACTTGGGGTTGTAGAGGTTAAAAATGGGGTGGTGGTGGTGGCAGAAGCATTGGATGGTTTGGGTCACAACTGGTCTACCCTGCAAGACAGTTGTGCAAGGAAGGTGCTCCTAGTCTCCCTCTTCTGTTAAGATTCATAGTCTCTCTTTCTCCCACTGTTTAAGACAGGTGTGATGGACAGCAGAGCCAGACCAGTCAGGTGATGCAGTCCCCCTGAAACTCCACCAGAGGGCTGGAGCCTCTCTCTGATTGGCTACAGAGTCTGCTAGACACAGAGGTGGGAGGAGCAGCACATTGGGAGAGAGTATAAAAACAGCCATTTCTGAGGGAGAAAGTTAGACAGGGCCAAGGTTCAGGTTGAATCCGCTACAACAGGATTTTGCCATATTTTTTGCATGACCTATTCAAGTCTGTAGTCCTTTCTGGCAACAGCCATACAATAATGCATTTATGTATAACCAAAGTCCAAGCAGTTTCAGGAGGGAGATTTGGAGTGCTTTGTACACTTAACCCTTCATCAGCCGCTTCTCTACTCAGTTTGCCCCCTCAGCTGCTGCCTGCTCTCATTGGGCTCCAACACTGTGATTTATTTGTTGTTGGTTATAAGCATTTTGGGCTTTGTTCCATATAGCCTTACACAGTCCAGGGCCCAAATATATGGACTCCTCCCCCGCCCCCTTACTTGCCACCCATGCATTAAGGTTTGTGAGAGCAGAGCAGCTCATCGTTCCCTCCAACTCCAGGTTGTGGGGCAGTGGCACCCCAGATGTAGAAGTCCCTTGCCACAGAAATTTGGTGGTTCCCAGTGTTCTTTACTTTTAGGCGTTGACTCAAGACACATTTGTTTTATCCGGCTGGTTGAGAGCTGGATTGCTGCTGGATTGTCTGAAAGTTTGGTTCTCTGCTCTCTCTCTGTGTTTTGTGTAGTGTATTAGGTACTACCCTGGGAACTTCAGGGTTGAAAGGTGAAATAGAAATTCAAATATTATTATTGTTTCCCATATTAAATCTGGAATGCTATAGCCTGGCAACAGACATACTACAGGGAGTTATTGCCTATTTATTTTAATTCAAAAATAAACCCTGTCAAGCAGGAGCAGGATTCTATGCCTCAGCCACTCATGCAGAATCGCTTTCTGAAACCCTGTTCCTTTGATCCCCTCACACATTCTAGTTTTGGTTTTGTGTGGTGTTGCCAGTATCCCAACCATAGTGACTCCTGCTTAATACACCCACTATTTTTATTTCTTCTAGCTGTGGTGTAATTGAACAGTGGACAAAATGGATACCCATTTCCTTTTTGTTAAAAATTATCTCTTTCCTGTTCTCAGCTGCAGACAGATGTTTTCCCCCTACAGATAACTTCTGATAGCTGTTGTGATGTGTTTTTGAGAATGTTCTTCATACCTGGCAGGGGGGCTGGAGAACAGAAACAATCTTTATTTTTAGGATATACAGTTAATCCCAGGAGATGGAGCATCATAACACAGACGGCCATCATGTCGGAACACAAACAGATGCAGCTTCCCAGACACCATTAACTCCTGAACTGCCAAGGAGGTTCTGCATACACTTTACTACAACGCCAAGCCATCAGTTCATTGTAACATGTGAAAAGGCATAGGCAAACGAAATACGAATCCCATGTATATTTCTTTTTTTAAAAGGGTCTAAGTTATATAAGAGGGGCATTATAACATTTAGTTTAACATATAGATCACATTATTATCTTATACACACAAAGGATGAAATCCTGAACACTAGGGAGCAAGTCCCATTTAACTCGATACAACTTCTGCATAAATATTTGTTAAAGTGTTGTTTATTTTGTGGAATTGACACACCCCATACGTTTGCAACACACCCACCCACCCTATTCTTTTGACAGCAGAAAAGGTTTAGTCTCTCCATGGTTGGTGGAATCTTATCCTGGTGTTAACTTGTTTCTGTGCCAACGCTTTTAAATGCTTAGGAATTTCTGCAATCCATTGCCATCTCTATAAGCATATGACAAAGTGTATGTACAGTGGTACCTCGGGTTAAGTACTTAATTCATTCTGGAGGTCTGTTCTTAGCCTGAAACTGTTCTTAAGCTGAAGCACCACTTTAGCTAATGGGGCCTCCTGCTGCCACCGTGCAATTTCTGTTCTCATCCTGAAGCAAAGTTCTTAACCCGAGGTAATATTTCTGGGTTAGCGGAGTCTGTAACCTGAAGCGTATGTAACCTGAGGTACCACTGTATTACTTTTACATACAATCCTATCCATGTTTACTCACAAGTAAGACCTGCTGATTTCAACAGGCCTTGCTTACAAGCAAGTGACAGAATTGAGGCCTCAATCAGTGCAATAGATAGAGGTAATGCAGAGGCTGATGTACTGAAATATAGTTGCTTTTCTGCAATGACAATGAAGGCCATTGCAAAGTTTTGTCCAGGAACAGAAATTCAAATGTTCCTTTTGCAGTATGGTCATCAACAGTGATGTAAATAGTCAGAAATAAATCTTGTCACCCTGCCCCTCTTCTTAGAATCTCACCTATTTATTATTCCCCACTATCCAAAGGTAGTCCAAATTACTATATTTTTATAGTACAGTGGTACTTCTGGTTAGGGACACGGGTGGCGCTGTGGGTAAAAGCCTCAGCGCCTAGGGCTTGCCGATCGAAAGGTCGGCGGTTCGAATCCCCGCGGCGGGGTGCGCTCCCGTTGCTCGGTCCCAGCGCCTGCCAACCTAGCAGTTCGAAAGCACCCCCGGGTGCAAGTAGATAAATAGGGACCGCTTACTAGCGGGAAGGTAAACGGCGTTTCCGTGTGCTGCACTGGCTCGCCAGAGCAGCTTTGTCACGCTAGCCACATGACCCGGAAGTGTCTCCGGACAGCGCTGGCCCCCGGCCTCTTGAGTGAGATGGGCGCACAACCCTAGAGTCTGTCAAGACTGGCCCATACGGGCAGGGGTACCTTTACCTTTACTTCTGGTTAAGTACTTAATTTGTTCCGGAGGTATGTTCTTAACCTGAAACTGTTCTTAACCTGAGGTACCACTTTAGCTAATGGGGCCTCCTGCTGCCGCCATGCAATTTCTGTTCTCGTCCTGAAGCAAAGTTCTTAACCCGAGGCACTATTTCTGGGTTAGCGGAGTCTGTAACACGATGCCTATGTAACCCGAGGTACAACTGTATGGTGTATGCTGCTACTATACAGCACACAAAAATATTCAGAAACTTTTCGAACGTTTGTTAACGCTGCTCCTGTATAGTTGATGGAAGGCTGAGGAACAAGAGGACCAAAGCAACCAGAGTCTGTAGCAAGCAAGAGCTGTTTTCCTAATTGCTCTGACCAACAAATCTGACTCATATTTTTTAAAACAGAAGTCAAGGGTATCACTTGATTCATTCTGAAGGACTCTTGGTACAAAAGGCTTTCTTGGCTTGCCTCCCTACAGTTCTCTCCTACCAGAGATGGGTAGTGGCACATAGTTTGAATCGCTGGCTGACACCCCTGGTCATCCACTTGAAGCCAAGACCACTTGCAGCCTCAAGTTCTTGTGCTTCTGGAGATACTCTTGCAGTCTCCTCTGTTCCTACTGCCTACAGTTATACGTAATGGGCTGGGCCACTACTTTCTCCACTGGTTACCACTGGAAGGAAACAGAACTGTCATGGTTTGGTGGCTGCTAGAGTATTGCTCAAATGTAGTTCAGGCTTTTTGGACAAATTAGTTTGTACTGCAATCTTTTCTGAACTACGGTATGTCTAAAAAGCACATGTGGATACACACACACCAGAGACACTTGTTGAATTAGAGTAATTTATTGTGTGTTTTTTTCTGAACTTGACAGATTCCCAGAGATTGATAACACAACACAATCTTATGCACCAATTCACAACTAGTCCCTTGTTGGTTTTATTAAGAACATAGTAATTTAAAAAATAGCTAAATATGTACATATTAATAAAACTTATATACATAAGATTGAGATACTTTTTTTTACCTAAATATGGAATGATTTCCTAATAAAACCTATAAAAAGACTTCTGAAAAAAATCTGAACAGTAGTCACAGTAAGTAGACAAGAATACTATTATTTTTAAGATTTATTAAAAGAATGCTGATTGTTGGTTAACTGTTACTATATGTATGACTTCTTTGTAGATTTACTGGGGAGACTGAGTAGTTCTGTTCAAGAGGGAACAGTCTCTAAATCCTTTCCATCTCTAAGGAGAAAATGTACTTTTTAAAGACTGCAGTGCAAGTCAGGTTTATCTTGTCATCAAGAGAACACAGCCACATTTCAATAATTATATGTGTAATAATGATTACACATTATGTGTAAAATTCCACAAAAGTGTTAATCTGCAGTAGAAGTAGTTATTCAGCCTGAGTTGAACAAACACAAAAGATTCTGTATAAATATCTACAGCAGTGTCTTCTGGTGTGCTTAAGATGACTATGAAATTTTCATTATATAACATTCATTAATCCTTCATCGGAAGTATGACCTAGTACCTTTCCACACACAGACTAGGACAGAAGCCTGATTCTTCAAAAGGTAACAAGAATACATAAACCATAACTTCAGATATTATTTGTGGGCTTTTGTGGTTAATAACCTTAAAGACCAGTGTATAAATTTATGAACACCCATGTCAAAGTTTCCTTTCAAAAGCAGAAATATAAAATAAGCCAAAAATATTTGACGGGGCAGAACACTTGCTTTAGTTTTAACTCTGAGGAATGAGATAAGGAGATCAGTACACAATGGTGATAAATATATACGTTTTGGAAGGAATTTAATATAAATATTAATTAACTGGCAAGTGGTAAGGTGGGATTATATATATATATATATATATATATATATATAATTTAGGGTTCAGATTTTGTACACTGGCCTCTCTTTCCCAGCACCACCCATGATTCAGGGGATAACAAATATTAATATATCTGATGACAATGGAGTGTGTGGAGCTTGACCCAGAGGATGTTTGGTCATCTATCTGAAATTTCAAATAACAAATCTTTCGTGGAAATTAAGGGGGGCGGTAATTTGCAGATTCTGGGCCAATTTCCTTCATCCTTGGCCTACAATATTCACAGGGAGAAAACTGGGAATCGATTTTTTTTGGCAGATTCACACACCTGCCAGATGAGGAGGAAGTGAATGGGTATGCTCTTTACATATAAGTAATTGTGTGAGCATTTTCACTTCACAAATAGGCCTGAAGATGTGGAGACCCAATATGAGCTATCATTTCCTCTCACTGAAGGGATGAAGATTTATGGAAATCAAGCCTATGGGTAACTATGGAACACCTAGTTTCCATAGTGTAAGTGCAAGAAGATTATATACACCCAATCCACTCACGACAGAATTATCCTTAGTTGGGGAACTGTGTGAACTCCTCGTGGTCAGGAGGAAGGTGTGATACTATGTTCCTTTGAGTTGAACAAAGGAAACCAGGATACATGTTCCTATATGCACTTCCTTATCACTCATTTCCCCCACTGCTGGACAGATCCTTCAAGAGGCATGAGGAAAGGCATGAGCATTTGTGAAAATCAACACACCCCAAATGTAATGGTATTTCCCCTACATCTCATGCAAAAATGACAGAAAAGCCATGTATAAGAGTGTTGGGGAGGCTATTGGCAGCGATAATTATTGAAATAACTTTTTGGGAACTACAAGATGGTGCTGGCACTCAAAAGCCAGGGAGAGAGAGAGAGATGAGGGGGGTTGTTATACCAAATGGTCTGCAAAATAAAATGTCTGAGTAATCTCAATATTAAGAACAGTTCATTCCACGTTCACCAATACTTGTTCTGGACAAAACACCAGCATCAATATTAGCATCAATTATTGGGACTCTTATTGTCAAATACCATATTGCAACTTATTCAGAGAAGAATACTTGGCAATTTACCATCTTTACCCAAGAAGGAAAATCAAAGGCTAAGGAGAGAGGGAGAGAGGGAGAGAGAAGGGTCTTCAGAACAGATGACTAATGATTTATTAACTTTGAAGTTTTTTGGTCCTTTGATTTCTGCACAAGAATCCAATATGAAATGGGGTCCTTCAGAACACCATTCTAAGGGAGGCCCTTAACTTTGTTAATGTTTCAATGTTTAATCAAAGATGGAACAAACAGCCAGCCAGCATGCATATACTTATGTGGGGAAATGCAATCATAAAGACAAAATTTGTTCTATTTCAGTGGTTATCTGATTAACTGCACTATATCCTTGCTGAACAAGTCTATTCTGATTAAAATAAGAAACAAGTAATTTTGTGGCTTTGTTACCCTATGTTACAAAAGCATGAACAAACTTAAGATTGAGGCCATGATAGAGAACGCAGATATTGAAGTAGTCTGAAAATAGCGCTGGTGTCCTGCTCAAAAGTAAAGACGTCTGGATCTGCTAGTGAAACACTGGTGCAGAATGTGTGGTTTCAAAGAGGTTACCTGAAAAAGAAGAGCTGGGCTTAGGATCTGAAAGGTTGGCTGTATAAAACTGACACACAAGTATTAAAAGTAACCTATGGATTTCAACATTAAAGTAATAAAAGGTGTTGTCTGCAATAGAATTAGAACACTAACAGGCTGTCCATAATTTATTTCTTGGTATGTATTACAACCCCTGGGAATCACTTATGGAAAGGTATTACCGTATTTTTCGCCCTATAGGACGCACCGTCCCATAAGACGCACCTAGTTTTTTGGGGGGGAAATAAAGGGGGGGGGAATTTATTTCCCCCCCAGGCGCGGGGCTGGGGCGGGGGAAGCCCGAGCTTCCCCTGACCCCAGCCCCCAGAACAGGCAACTCTCCGCAAGCAGCTGGAGCCCAGAGCAGGGCTCCCGCGCCTTGCGGAGAGGTGCGCGAAGTCTGGACGCACTGCGCTTAGCGCGCCCAGCCTTCGTCATGCAGGCAACTCTCCGCAAGCAGCGGGAGCCCGGCGCGGGCTCCCACGGCTTGCGGAGATCTGCGGGAAGCCTGGAGAGTGAGAGGGGTTGGTGCTCTCCAGGCTTCAGCGAAAGCCTGCATTCGCCCCATAGGACGCACACACATTTCCCCTTCATTTTTGGAGGGCAAAAAGTGCGTCCTATGGGGCGAAAAATACGGTAATTACTGTGAGAGAAATCTAGTACACAGAATTGGAGAATAAGGGAGAGAACACATGCAAAGGTGTGTATTAAGAGCAACAAGGAATTCATCTAAAAATATTACACACATGGATGGAGAACAAAGCACTTGCATAACAATGCAAGGGAGTGTCTATCAAATATCTGAAATTAATCTGCAAAGTGGAAAGAACAGCACTGCTGTATTGAGGGTTTTTCCCCAAAACAATATAGAAAGCACTTAAACAGAACTCTCCCACCCCACCCTCCCTACAAATATATATAATTACAATGATCTCCCCTCCCCTGATTGCTCACTTTTATTTGGGGTCACTTAATAATAATTTTACTGGGACGCGGGTGGCGCTGTGGGTAAAAGCCTCAGCGCCTAGGGCTTGCCGATCGAAAGGTCGGTGGTTCGAATCCCCGCGGCGGGGTGCGCTCCCGTTGTTCGGTCCCAGCGCCTGCCAACCTAGCAGTTCGAAAGCACTCCCGGGTGCAAGTAGATAAATAGGGACCGCTTACTAGCGGGAAGGTAAACGGCGTTTCCGTGTGCTGCGCTGGCTCGCCAGATGCAGCTTGTCACGCTGGCCACGTGACCCGGAAGTGTCTCCGGACAGCGCTGGCCCCCGGCCTCTTAAGTGAGATGGGCGCACAACCCTAGAGTCTGTCAAGACTGGCCCGTATGGGCAGGGGTACCTTTACCTTACCTTTAATAATAATTTTATTATTTATATCCCTCCCATCTGGCTGGGCTTCCCTAGCCACTCTGGGCGGCTTACAGAATATAGCACAAATGATAACCCCACCACCACCACCACCACACACACATCCTGGAGAGTCATGTCCAGATAACAATATTGGGAGATTGCATGGCATAATATTGTCCCCAATGCTCTTCAACTCTGAAATGAAGCCACTGAGTGTGGCCATTCGGCGTTTGAGGGCAGTGTGTCGTCTGTGCGCTGGGAGTGGTAGCCAATGTTGCTGAAGCCAGAACTGGGATTCAAGATGACTAAGAGATTGGGGAACGGGGTCAAATGAACAAAACAAATTTCAGTAGGGACAAATAGGTTGAGAGAACTGGGTCAGTTTAGTTTGGAAAAGAGGAGACTGAGAGGAGATATGATAGCCATCTTCAAATGTCTCGAGGGCTGTCACATGGAAGAGGGAACAAGCTTGTTTTCTCCTGCTCTGGAGGGTAGGACTCAAACCAATGGCTTCAGGTTACAAGGCAGGAGATTCCAACTCAGCGTTCAGAAAAACTATCTGACAGTAAGAGCTGTTTGGCAGTGGAACAAATCCCACAAGAGGTGGTGGACTCTCCTTCTTAGGGGTTTTAAAGCAGAAGTTGGATGGTCATCTGTGTCATGGATGCTTTAGCTGAGATTCCTGCATTGCAGAAGGTTGGACTAGATGACCCTTGGGGACCCTTCCAACTCTACCATTCTATGATTGCCATAACATCTGAGTCAGAAGAGGCTATGTATAATCCTAATCACTGTCCTAGTGATGGACTGGAGGAGGGCTAATAACCCAATGTTGAACCCTGGGAAGATGGAGGAATGGCAGGTAAGTGGATTGGTCAGTTGCATGTTCTCGATGGGGCTGCACTCCTTCTGAAAGAGCGCTTTCAGAGTTTGCGAGTGCTTCTGGATCCATCTTTTTCACTGAAGGCTCCGGTAGAGGGCCCTTAACCAGCTACAGACATCATCTTTGACAGGCAAAGCCTGGCCATGGTAATTCCATTATGAACTTCCAGACTCACTTATTGCAGTGTGCTCCATGTAGGGCTTCCCTGGTCTAGACGCTCCAGCTGGTGTAAATGCTATGGCTACACTGTTGGTAGGAACAGACAACCACCCGCACAAAGTTTCAGTGCTTAAAAGCTTGCACTGGGTACTCAGAGGCTAACAAGCCAAGTTCAAGGTTCTTGTGTTAACTCACAAGATCCTTAACAACTTGGGTTTAGGATACCTAAAGAACCACTGAGGTCTCTAGGGGAGTTGCTGTTAGTAGTCCCCCATGGCTCTGATGCACAGCCTGTATACACCAGAACCCATGCATTTGGTGTTGGAGCCCCCATTCTGTGGAACACCCTCTTGGAGGTGATCAAACAGGCCCCCTCCCCACTGAACTTCAGGTGTGTGGTTTAGATTTAATTTTAGCAGGCATTTTAAGTAAGCTTCTATGTTTTTATGGTTAATATTAACTGATTTTTCTCCTTATGCACATTTTGCAGAAAGGAGACCAAAGAAATAAGATTTCTACTAATGTGACTGCCTCTTTGTGTCTCACTTATGAACTTTTGATAGTAGAAAAATTAGCAGCACTAAGAAATTGCATGAGATGAAATGGGCACCAGTAAAATACTAAATAAAATTACTAGAGCAATTAAAAGCTGACATATAAAGACTTCGTTAAGGAAATTGATTATCATGTCTTCTTACATAAATTGCCTTGATTGCTTGATTGGGTGTGGGGAGCAAGAGTGAAGAGATCTTTATAATCTCTGTGATCTGAGGACAGATTTATATATTCAGTAGTTACTGAGTACGAAAGCTTTCCCTAGACTTCTGGCTGTTATAAGGTCACATTTTAAATGCTTCTCTGTAATGAAGGACTCCTTGGGCACAGGCACAATGATGTCAGGGAGAAGGGTGTTGTCTGGCCTTCCTGAATTGTAGTGTTTTATGTTCAGTGGAGGAGCACTTCAACATGGAATAACCTCCACTCCTAGCACTACGGAACAGGCAGTGGAGACAGAGAGTAAGAAAATGTGAGGCATATCTAGTGACAAAGGAAAATGTAAGTTTAGGTAAGAGATGTTATATTGTGCAAGGTTATTCCAGACAGCCCAATTCTAATGAGACTATAAGCAAACAAATGGCCAATTTGTTTTTATTAACCAACAGCTTTTTTACCTGTTTGTAGTAGAGAAAGGTCCAGTTTCTCATCACAGTCGGTTGTCTCTACTAAATAAAGATAATACATAAAATATATTATTCTCCATAATACATACAATTAGAATTAAGTAAAACAGTGGTAATAAAATTAAATGGGAAAAGTGGTATGGAAAACAGGCAAGTGTACTACAAAACCCCTACAAATTAGAAGCATTTTAAGAACTTAGGGAATTCAAAGGAAGAGCTGCTCCATAAGACAATAACCAGTTCTCTTCAGAAGGTGACTGATGAATATTTCAATGGAGGTGACTCAGATATTCAGCTCTGAGTCATAATGACTAGTTGAGTGACAAGACTAAGAAATGTACATAGGCCTGAATCAGCCCTTAGGAGCAGTGTCCTTCCTCAGTAATTCTTGAAGGCTGGGTTCAGGCTGCTCACTGTCATACTGTTTGTCTTGCCACCTTGCTATCTGCATTCAATCTGCTTTCTACCTCTAACCCTCCCTTACCTGAGCCTCTTTTTAACCGTCTTCTTGCCAGTTTGATTTGATCCTGAAGAATCTGTACCCAGTCTCTTGGGCCAGGTAGTTTATCCACATGGTTTGCAGTGCAGTATTTTTCTGTGAACACTAAAAACAGAAGGTACAAATAATCTCTTTACCAAAAGGTTGAAAAAGATGGAAAACTGCAAACCAAGGTTTAAGTAACCAGACACAAGAAAAGCAAACTCACAACAACATTCTACATTTTATATAAAATGTGAGAACTGGATGTTTACATTTTTGTAACTTAAAATCTCCATGACTGAGCAAAGTCAGCATGTAAATTTATTCTTCCCAAACGATTTTCCAAGTGCAGGAAGATACTAACATGGGAGACCTTCAAACAAACTAACTTGCAATGTAAGCTTGGACTGTAGCTGTTTGAAAGCATTCAAATAGCCAATAGATTTTGCATATACAGTGGTGCCCCGCAAGACGAATGCCTCGCAAGATGAAAAACTCGCTAGACGAAAGGGTTTTCCGTTTTTTGAGTCGTTCCGCAAGACAAATTTCCCTAAGAACTTGCTTCGCAAGTTCTTGCGAGTTTGTTTCCTTTTTCTTAAAGCCGCTAAGCCGTTAATAGCCGCTAAGCCGTTAATAGCCGCTAAGCCGCTAATAGCCGTGCTTTGCAAGACGAAAAAACCGCAAGACGAAGAGACTTGCGGAATGGATTAATTTCGTCTTGCGAGGCACCACTGTATTACGGAAGATCCAGTAAGCTAAGCACTCTGCGAATGTTTACCATGTTGAAAAACATTAGCAGAAGATGGCATTGACATTCCAGAAATATTCACTAGAAAGATCAGTCTCCAGACATTTAAAGAGAACACCACAAAACATTGCCTTGGAATCTCCGGAATAAAGTGACACACGAAACTATGAAATCTGAAAACACAGTGGCAATATGCACATAAAATGTTACTCAGATGAAGTGGAACAAGCCAAAACAAAGTGTTGGGCTTACACACCTCTCCCCACACTTACTCTCCCCATGCAGTCAGGAAGAAGACTTCTGAAAAAAATTATTTCATTTTTGGATAATTCTGTCGTGAACCAGAGATCATGGTTCATGACAAACATATTATTTAAACAAGCTAGCTTTATAACCCATGGCATGAATGTAATGCCAAGCTAGGCTCTCTGGTTCACATGCAATACTAAGCCAGGATTCCATAAAAGTGAAACTAAACCCAGCAGAAGCCCTTTTCCTGGCTGCGGTGGGAAATGGATAGGGCAGCATGTCAGGCAGATGCTTTTGCTTGGGCTCCTTCCAGCTCAACCCATGTGCCACTAAACCACTGTTCAGCATTACATGCAAACATGACCAACATTTGGCTTTGATTTTATAAAACAGAATTAGCAAGGGTAAACCTTTCGTGCACATTTCAAGCTACATTTCATCTACACATCAGTGCTTTTTATGAGCATATATTTGACAACACTGCTTCCTCATGAAACAAAATATTGACACATCATTTTTTAAAAAGTATTTTTTTTAATTACAAAAGGGAAAAAGGAGGTATAGATCATCTGTCTTAGTTTTCTGTGAAAGATTCCAAATATATAATCAGGTATCTTTATAATAACATTTTAAATGACTGTCTGAGTTCACTATTTCTATGCCTTATTGCTCTTGGGCTGTTTAACCAGAATGGTCAGGAGTGGGAGTATGAGGAAGTAAAGAAAAACAGGAAATATTTCAGTATTGTTGGGGAACTGGTGACCTTTAACCTGAGAGACTGCCTCAGGTGTGCTCCATCATACAACAGCAGCAGCTTTGAATGGAGGATGAATGTCAGCTATGATATATCACCAGGCAAATGACCAATCAGCTCCTTTCGCTGCCCTACTTGCATGTTTCATGCAGCCAACCTCAATTCCTCCACTGTACTTCCTGATTAAAGAAATAGAGTATATACAAGAAATAGAGCAAAAAATGGAGCCATGCAGGCCTCCAACATGGCCCCAACGATGAGCTAAAACAGCCAGGACTCACCCCAGTGATCAGCCAGGCTGGGCAGCAGCCAAGGACCGCAGGGTCTTAGAAGGCTCCTTCCCTGCCCTCTCCACCAGACCCCTGGGTGCTTTTCAGTGACAGGCAGCAGTGCTGCTTTTGAACAGGAGCAAAGATCAGCTCTGATCTGTGATGGCCAATCTTCATTTAATATTCCCAAAATTTAACACTCTGGCCTGTAGAGCTATGAAATCCATTGATTTCATAGATCTGTACCTATACTTCAGTTAGGAAATCTATAGCTTTCATTGATAGGCAACATTGCATTTTGGGCAACTTAGAATCATAGAATCATAGAGTTGGAAGAGACCCCAAGGGCCATCGAGTCCAACCCCCTGCCAAGCAGGAAACACCATCAGAGCACTCCTGACATATGGTTGTCAAGCCTCTGCTTAAAGACCTCCAAAGAAGGAGACTCCACCACACTCCTTGGCAGCAAATTCCACTGTCGAACAGCTCTTACTGTCAGGAAGTTCTTCCTAATGTTTAGGTGGAATCTTCTTTCTTGTAGTTTGGATCCATTGCTCCGTGTCCGCTTCTCTGGAGCAGCAGAAAACAGCCTTTCTCCCTCCTCTATGTGACATCCTTTTATATATTTGAACATGGCTATCATATCACCCCTTAACCTCCTCTTCTCCAGGCTAAACATGCCCAGCTCCCTTAGCCGTTCCTCATAAGGCATCGTTTCCAGGCCTTTGACCATTTTGGTTGCCCTCCTCTGGACACGTTCCAGTTTGTCAGTGTCCTTCTTGAACTGTGGTGCCCAGAACTGGACACAGTACTCCAGGTGAGGTCTGACCAGAGCAGAATACAGTGGCACTATTACTTCCCTTGATCTAGATGCTATACTCCTATTGATGCAGCCCAGAACTGCATTGGCTTTTTTAGCTGCCGCGTCACACTGTTGGCTCATGTCAAGTTTCTGGTCAACCAAGACTCCTAGATCCTTTTCACAGGTACTGCTCTCAAGCCAGGTGTCCCCTATCTTGTATTTGTGCCTCTCATTTTTTTTTGCCCAAGTGCAATACTTTACATTTCTCCCTGTTAAAGTTCATCTTGTTTGTTTTGGCCCAGTTCTCTAATCTGTCAAGGTCGTTTTGAAGTGTGATCCTGTCCTCTGGGGTGTTAGCCACCCCTCCCAGTTTGGTGTCATCTGCAAATTTGATCAGGATGCCCTTGAGTCCATCATCCAAGTCGTTGATAAAGATGTTGAATAAGACCGGGCCCAAGACAGAACCCTGTGGCACCCCACTAGTCACTCTTCTCCAGGATGAAGAGGAACCATTGATGAGCACCCTTTGGGTTCGGTCAGTCAGCCAGTTACAAATCCACTGAGTGGTAGCATAGTCAAGATAAGCATAGTCACTGAAGATGGGGGGGGGGGGCTACCAGGGATGAAAGCTGATATTCGCTCCCATTCAAAAGTGCCACCACACATCCACAACTGAAGTGTGACGAGGGGCCCAACAATCGGCTGACAGTCAGACCTTGTGAAGCCAGGTGCATGGGGCTTTTGCACTGTGGGCTTCACAAATACCAGGCTACCAGGACTCCAGCAAGTCCTGTTGATGAGGGACCTCTGTCCTGAAGACACTGTGCACAACACTTCACAGGTGCCACCAATCAGCTGAGTAGTGCTACCTGCAAAGCCCCTGTTGGATCAGCCACATGTTTATCCATCCCATTATAGGTCAAGTGGGTGTGGCTTGGCCCAAACCGTCTCATGGGCCAAATGGGCCAAAAAACCACAAAAAACCCACAAACAACTGGGGAGGCCTGGTGGGTCTAAAGAGGCCTGTGGGCTGGAGGTTCCCCACTGCAGTTGTAGCTCAAAATATATTTGGGGGGCAGGCAAGTTGGGGAAAGCTGGGCTAAAGCTTTCCAGGACTGAATAAGCAAAAGACCTGAGAGCCAGGTAAAGCTGAGGCAGTGAACAGAGGCAACAGTCCAGGCAGACAAAGACGGGGGCTATGGGGGGAAATGTATAGCAAAGCCAGCTTGAAAAAGTACCCAAACCACACACTCTTACAAGCCCATCTTTAAGGCTTCATTTCTGTAAACATTCTCATCCTTTGACGGCCATCACTCTACTATTAAACATACCAGATGTAAAGGAGGAAAAAATACTCTGAATTTTTCTTTGCTTAACAGTGCACATTTCTAAAGTGTGAGAGAACAACCATCATTGATATAAAACTACCTCAGCAGAGTAAACATTTTTCTTTACACTCTTAACTGATTTATTGAGCAGAGCCAAAAGTATTGATTACAGAACATCTGAAAGGGCTACAGAGGAACCCAGTGGCAACGATGCAAAGAACATTTTTTCATTCTTAGTGCGATCTTACACTGGCTGAGCCACCACAAGGGATCAATGGGCCCATAGTATCCAGCAGAACGTGCAAATGGAGCCAGGCAGAGTTAAGTTCCACAGGGTGCCATCCCTTGTGTTTGCTTCTGGGAGAAGAACCCCCATCCAGCATATCAAAGTCCTCAATGCAGCATCCCTTGTGTGATACCATAAAGACAATATAAAGAGAGCCCTCTTATTATAAACAGTGCCTAGCACTACCACTCTAGATACTATCAGCTGCTGGTTGTAACTGAAAATGATCAGTATTTGAGAACATGTTTGGCTAGGGTATCTTGTTTATTTTTTTATTTATCAAAATGTATGCACCACTCAATCAAAAGAAACATTTAAAGCTGTTAACATAAAATCTTGCAGCAACATCACCGCTGCATCCCAATGCACTAAGAATGATGTAGGTGAAATAATTAATTTGTAGTTGGAAATTTCAAAGAAATGGGGGCCAGATAATACAACTCTTAAAAATGCATGGCGTGCTTCCCAATATCTACATTTAAAACCAATGTTTTATTTCATTGACCCTCTTGACCCTCAATAGCATCTTACCATCCCTATCTTTATAATTATTATATTTAATAATTTCATTTCTCACAAAAGAAGATCATCATACGCAGTTGCATAATGAGCTTTCTTCAATGCTGATCTGTAAGCACCACATCAAAAAGGTCCAGTTAATTTCAAGTTTCAAACTATATTATGAAGCATCATGTCTTTGTTGGTTGAAAGAGTGGATAAAATTAGAAAACACAGAATTGTTAGATTTGGAAGGGTTCGATAACAGATTTGGATGGCATGCCTATTTATGGTGTGAGAAGAAGAAAAACCATAAAGGTTTTGAGAACCACATCTTCCGGAGATCTTTAATTGAAATATGGGATAGGTATAAATACCTATTAGAACCAAGAGTCCCACACTGGTTATCTCCGTTAGAGGTTATGAGTGTAAAGAAAATCAATATGAGAGGGAATTGGATTGCATATGGTGAGTTGATAGCAAAAGAAGGAGGGAAATGGAAAATGAAACCTTATGAACAAGTAAAAAAGTATGTATATGATTGGTTGCATTATTTTCAAGTAAATGAAATGTTTAAAAAGGATTTTAGAGAGAATGGATATGTTGAAAAAGATTCAAAATTTCAAATAGAAATAATAAATAATGATTGTAAAATTTTATCAAAAATGTACAAAATGTTGTTGGAATGGCATACGAAGGATGAGGAAGTCAAGTCGGTTATGATACATTGGCCCAAAGATGGAAAAAGGAGGAATTACCAACCCTGGAAGAATGGAGAATGAAAATGATGGACTATGCAGAATTGGATAAACTAACTGGGAAGATTAGATATCAACGAGACCATAAGTTCATCGAGGACTGGGGAAAATTTGTAGAGTATCTGAAAAATATATGTGATGAGCAAACAACGCTCGTGGGATTTCAAGAAGCTCTGTGAAAGTTTGAGGAGTATTGTAAAAAAGAAAATAAGATTGGGAAGGTATATAAAAAGGCAGTATTAAATTTAGGAAATGTGTAACTAAAAATTAATTACGGATGATTGGCAGATAAGCTGAAGGAAGTCCATAAGAGATAATTTGTGATAAACTTTTGATATGGTATTATATGTATATTGTATTGAAAACTAATAAAAATTATTTTTTTAAAAAAAGGTTCAGTTACGACCGAGGCCCAGTGAAAACAAGCATCTTGTTGTGCAGTAAAATATATTAAACTGTAGGTTGGAAACACCATGTCTGAATGATTCCCCCATTTAAAAAAAAAGCATCCTGGCCTGGGTCGTCACATATTACATTAAATAAGTGTAGAATCTTTGTACTTGTGTATACCAACAATTGAGCTGTACATTTGTAACATTTTTCACATGTAACATTCAATGAATGTGCAGTCCATGTACTCATGTACACAGTAGTTGAGATGTACAAATCAGCAAGTGTACAGTCTTTCACACAAGCCCTTGCACATGCCTTGTACTACCAGTTTGGAGATGTGTTCAGTGTTAATGAGGGAACAAGTCTTAAATGTCAGTAGTGATACGTGTGCAAATCTTTATTCCTCAACCTACAATCTGAAATGATGTAGTCCCGGAACAGTTTGACCATGCAAAAGGTTGTTGATTCAGATCAGATAGCAGGAACACATAGCCAAGGCAGGCTTGCAGATGAGCTTGAGAAATTTGTAAAGATCACCAATGTTTTTAGCAACTCCCAAAACGTGATACAGCATAACCACTAGATTATATTATAAAAGCACATTTTTTAAAAAGAAAGAGAACAATACCTTTTATTGCACCCACAATATTTTGGTCTAGTCCTTTTCGGTTGTCATTGAGACCTCTTTTCCTCTTGCCATTGGGTAAAGAGTTGGCCAAGGTCTTGTCATCAAAAAATGCACACACCAGCTTTCGAAACAGCAGACTTCCTGAACGAGTGTAATTTGCTAATATAGAGTCCAGTTGTGATTTCGGCATAAAGACGTCAAAGCCTTCAGCAAGTTGCACTTCTGGCTACCAAAAGAATATGAATGCTTTATTAGCACCTCTTTCATAACTATTTTGTCAACAAATGACATCCAAGGAAAACATGTTCACATCAACACACATACTAGACTTTTATGACACCAGAATAGACACTGAAATAAAATAGACATTGAAATCAAAATTATCAACTGAGTATAACAAAATGCACATCAAAACCTGCTCTGTCCATTATCTTTACGAAATTATAATTACTAGAACAGGGGGAAATCCCAAGGAGCTAGTTACCTGGATGTTAATTAATTTAATGCTGGCAACTGCAATTATGAAATATTTATTCAGTACAGCAGCAGCTTTGAATAATTGGATACTGGCCATTAGGAATTTGAACTAAAATTACTATGGCTACAATCCTGCACTCACTGTTAAATGTTTAATCCCACCATAATAAACTGTTGTGATCACATTACTTGAAATCTAAGCAAGTAATATAAGGAAACAAAAGTCAGAGTATAAGAACAAAAATATTTATTTGTTGCTCAACACCTATTTTGTCCAAAAGCTGCATGCCACTTGCCTCTGGGAACTTCAAGAGCAGGACATGAAGGTTTCATTTAAATATTATGACTAACAGTCATTGATCAACTTATCCTCCGTTTATTTGGTGAATCCCCCTTCAAAGTTATTTCAGCTTGTGCCTTTCATCATTATGCCTTTCATTATGTCATATATTGATGACATGTTGCATGAAAAAGCCCTTCTATTTATCTTTGACTCCCAACTGTAAATTCAGCTTAAGAACTTGCAATAACTGGCACTAGGGCAAGATCTGATTCTGGAATCAGTTTTTATCAGTGAACACAAGTACCATATTTTTTGCTCTATAAGACTCACTTTTTCCCTCCTAAAAAGTAAGGGGAAATGTGTGTGCATCTTATGGAGCGAATGCAGGCTGTGCAGCTATCCCAGAAGCCAGAAGAGCAAGAGGCTGCACAGCGATCCCACTTGCTGTTCTGGCTTCTGAGATTCAGGTGGTTTTTTTTTCTTGTTTTCCTCCTCCAAAAACTAGGTGCGTCTTATGGTCTGGTGCGTCTTATAGAGTGAAAAATACGGTAAATTGTTTTACAAAGTGGCATTCTAATTTATTAATTTAGGAATAGCAGTTTTTAAAATTACCCACAGCAGCTTATGAGAACTTCTTGAATTGCCACCTTTCAGAGTAAGACAAAATGATTCTACTTATTCTACTCTGCATTGTACAACTTTACAGTGCAACATTTTGCATCCGCTGCTAGTTAATAGTCAAGCTTTGGTGACCGTATGGAGATTTTCAAAGTGCAGAAAAGGTGGACAAGTTTAAGCAAGCAAGTAGATATTAGCACATACTAATCAGATTGCAACCGGAAGTTCTCAAGGTGAGAATGACAGGTGCTTGGCACCATATACAGTGGTGCCCCGCAAGACGAATGCCTCGCAGGACGAAAAACCCGCTAGACGAAAGGGTTTTCCGTTTTTGAGTTGCTTCGCAAGATGATTTTCCCTATGGGCTTGCTTTGCAAGACGGAAACGCCTTGCGAGTCTTGCGATTTTTTTCGCCCCCCCTTTTCTAAGCCGCTAATAGCCTTTTAGCCACTAAGCCGCTAAGCCTTTAATAGCCGCTAAGTCGCTAATAGGGCTAATCCGCTAATAGGGTTGCTTCGCAAGACAAAAAAACCGCTAGACGAAGAGACTCGCGGAACGGAATCTTTTCGTCTTGCGAGGCACCACTGTATAGAACTTTGATTAGAAACAATGTCCTGTGAGTTAGTTGATCTCATCAGCATCCCTTTTGTCAAGGAAATCATGATAGGGCTTTTTCTTTGTTTTATTATCACAATAGTGTTGTTGTTATTGTTTTAAAAAAATAAGCTTAGAAAGTGATAACCTAAGTTCTAAAAAAGCCTGTGAATCAGTATGAAGCATGGGCGTGCAAAGTACTGGGGAAATGATTTTTTAAGAAAAACTGAATAAAAGATGTGAATTGCCTCCAGCCGTGTCCCTTTCTGCTCATGGAAAGGCCTGTGATCCAGCAGAGGCGTCCACAAATGGAGGAGAAAAGGTTACTTTAGCTGATATTCCCTTCCCTCTGCATCTCTTTGCACATCCCACCCCACAAGACTGCTCCAGAGGCTTAGGGGGACATGTGGAAACAGCACAAAGTGGCAAGGAGGTTGGTACGAGAAAGGGGAATTTGCTGGAGCAAAAAGGCTTCCATGAGCAGAGGGACATACTGTAATGGAATACAACCCATGATGTTTATTTCTGGAATCCTCACTATAATACCCAAGTGACATTTCTTTTCCTAAAATTAAGTTTAAAAAGAAACAAATCTAGCAAAGTTAGTATACTGAGGCTACAGAAAACCCACACCATATCTTTAAACAAATGAATGACATTTTTCAGATTTTGCTTATTTTTGGAATGCAGAACAATGGGCTCAAAATCTATTGGTATATATCAATTCCCATTCTCTCACACAGCTGCAAATCCTGCATTATTAATCAAACTTTTTTTCAACAAAAATGTCTTTACAATTTAGTGTGGTCTGCTCACTATTCCTACTTATGGCCCCAAACCCTACATAATTTATTGGTGTATATCTTAAGTAAAAGCCGAATTCCTGCTCAAACCCACATCAAACCCGACTTTGGAAAGGCAACATAAGGGCTGGGGTGTGTGTGTCAAATGTTGCTGATGACTAGCCTGCTTTAAGCCAAGGACATAATTATTCCCATCTTATTTGGATAGAACTATAAGAACTGTTCCCTTCAGGGTTCTGCTTCCATTCTTTTCCCACTTGTATTCCTGCTTCTCTGTCTCCAGCCAACCAGTTACTGGACTCCCAGGGCCTTAACTCTCCTAGCAGCAGACGTCTTTCAATAGCCCCCTGGTTCCCTCTGGTTAAACCCGGTCAACTGCATACAATTTCTCCTCGACCAAGGTCTTGCGGGAGCAAGCTTTCTGTCCCAGCCATACTGACCTTTCCTTGTCTTCACAGGCAGTCTCCCGCCCTCATTTAGTAGTTAGGGGACTTGCAAGCAACAGACACGAACCGGTTTTTAGCTTATTATGTGCAACCATTTTAAGGCAATGATTCTGCCGCGCGACAGTGGAGCTCTTCCAGTACGAGCTGTGCTTTCCCCCTTTTATAGCCAGCAATGAAAACATTGCACTTGTGCAGATAAAGCCCTTGTTAGCTCTCACATATTCTCCTGACATAACTCTAAATGATTTCTCCCTGTAGAAGCCAAATATTTCAATAATCTCAGCCAATTTATCAGTAGCCAATTTAACCAACTGAGGGGGAATGATTTTTTGTACATTTGAAAATTTGGTTGGAAACAAAAGGAGTTATTTCAATATCCATCCTGCCATATTTTTAGACCTTTGAGTGGGCGACAGCAGTTTAACACAAGCAGACTAAAATATAATTTAGCAAGCTGGAATAATCTTGTGTGGTATACTTAGATAATAATAATGTTTTTTAGAAAAGGATGATGCAATTACTAAGATCCAGCATGGCTTTCTCAAAAATAAGTCATGCCAGACAAATCTCATTTCTTTTTTTCTTTTTTTGCTGGAATTACAAGCTTGGTGGATCAGAGAAATGCTGTGGAAATAGTTTATCTTGATTTCAGTAAGGCTTTTGACAAAGTTCCCCATTATATTCTTGCGAGGAAGCTGGTAAACTGTGGGTTGAATGAGGTAACTGTTAGGTGGATGTGTAGCTGATTGACTGACGGAACCTTGTCATCCTGGAAAAAAGGGACAAGTGGGGTGCTGCGGGGTTCAACGTCTTTATAAACAACTTGGATGAAGGAATTGAGGGGATGCTCATCAAATTTGCAGATGACACCAAACTGGGAGGGGTAGCTAATGCTGCAAAAGAAAAAATCAGGATTCAAGATGACCTTAACAGATAGAACTGGTCCCAAGCTAACAAAATGAATTTCAGTAGGGACAAACATACGGTTCTGCACTTAGGCAGGATGAACCAGATGCACAAATATAGGATGGGGGGACTTACTAGCAGTACATGTGAAAAGGATCTAGGCGCCTTAGTGGACCACAAGTTGAACATGAGTCCACAGTGTGATGCAGCAGCAGCAAAAAGAAGAAGAAGAAGAAGAAGAGTTTGGATTTGATATCCCGCTTTATCACTACCCGAAGGAGTCTCAAAGCGGCTAACATTCTCCTTTCCCTTCCTCCCCCACAACAAACACCCTGTGAGGTGAGTGGGGCTGAGAGACTTCAAAGAAGTGTGACTAGCCCAAGGTCACCCAGCAGCTGCATGTGGAGGAGCGGAGACGCGAACCCGGTTCACCAGATTAGGAGTCTACCGCTCTTAACCACTACACCACACTGGCTCTCAAAAGAAAGAGCTAATGCTATTCTAGGCTGCCTCAGCAGAAGTCTAGTGTCCAGATCAAGGAAAGTAATAATACCACTCTATTCTGGCTTGGTCAGACCACACCTGGAATACTGTGTCCAATTCTGAGCACCACAATTTAAGAAAGATGTTGACAAGCTGGAAGGTGTGCAGAGGAGGGAGACCGAGGGAGGGAGACCGAGATGGTCAAGGGAGGGAGGGAGGGAGACCGAGGAGGGAGACCGAGATGGTCAAGGGTCTGGAAACGAAGCCTCATGAGGAACAATGGAAGTAAATGGGTATGCTTAGTCTGGAAAAGAGAACACTAATTGAAATATGATAAAGGAAGGTAAAGGGACCCCTGACCATTACGTCCAGTCGTGACTGACTCTGGGGTTGTGTGCTCATCTCGCTCTATAGGCTGAGGGAGTTTGTCCACGTTTGTCCACAGACAGCTTCCGGGTCATGATAGCCACCTTCAAATATTTCAAGGGCTGTCACATGGAAGAGGGAACAAGCTGTTTTTCTCCTGCTCTGGAGGGTAGGACACAAACCAATAGCTTCAAGTTACAAGGAAGGAGATCCTGACTAAACATCAGGAAGAACTTTCTGGCAGTAAGAG